AAAATCACCTGGCCAGCATGCATGTTTGCACTGAAGCTGACATAGGGCAATACCTTGATGCCCTCAGATATGGCTCTGGGTGCCACCTGTGGCACGTGTGCAGTGGTGGGTTTCAAATTTTTTTGGAACCTCTTCTGTAGGTTTGGCCTGCTTTCCGGGTCCACTGGTGGAACCTCTTCTAACCGGTTTGGTACATTTGACAAACCGGTTCTACCGAATAGATGCGAACTGGTAAGAACCCCCCTCTGCACGTGTGCCATAGGTTCGCCATCGCGGATCTATTCCAACCCTCCACCCAAGCAGGAGATCTTACAACATTTCTAACAGATGGCAGTCCAGTCTCTTCTTGAAAGCTTCCAGTGATGAAATTCCCACAACTTTTGAAGGCAAGCTGTTGAAGTAGAACAGGGGTCCCCAATCTTTGGGCTGTAGACCACTACCGATTCATGGCCTGTTAGGAACCAGGCTGCACAGCTGGAGGTGAGTGGTGGGTAAGAGAAACTGTACATGCATGGGATCTAGGTTATGTGCTCCCCACCCCAGTCTGTTGAATAACTGTCTTCCACAAAACCAATCCTTTTGGCACCAAAATGGTTGGAGACTGCTGAATTAGAGGATGTGATGAAGTTGCATTAGGAAGCACAATGGAGGGTGCAGCCTCACACATTCAATACAGCTACACCAGGGACAGCTCTTTAAATAGGGATTGCAGTCCTCGGAGACCAACCTGTTGGTAGAAGTACAGAAGCGTTGTCCGGTCCTCTTGGAAGCGTTCAATATAATCTTCAGGGAGGTAGCGGACCTGGAGGTCATACCTTAAACAGCACACCAAACTTTAAGTTAAACCAGCATTCTGTTTAGTGCTCAGATTTAGCAGACTACAAAATCTGGCTTCCCCAACTAGCAATGTCTTATTGCGGTTCTCCTTTCCATAACGCCACTTCTTCTGTCAGTACAACTTGCATTAATTGTATATTAGTATTATATGGATATTTTCCCTTAGTTTCCTCCCCTATCAAGTTTTATTTTATCACTGTATCGTAGTCTCATTGATGCATTGTGTTTGTTTCATTGCACTAATAAAATTAAAACAAATGAGACTTGCTGGGAGAAAACAAGCACAATAAGATATCCCAGCGAAACTGGACTTCGACCCTGTTTCTCTCCTCCCTTAGTACCCAAGAATGAAGCTAATCTGGAAAGATTGGTCTGAACAATCATTTCTGAATTGAGGTCAAGAGGGTTGGTGAGAACAGCATGGATACAAAAGGGGCTCCATACCTCCATTCAGCCTCAAGGTGCAAACATTCATATTTGTCCTGGACTTCCCCGACTGTCATGTCTGGATGAAGCCAGTGGATCTCATCTGATTTCACATGCTTCAGGCGTAATCCATAGCACTCAGCAAGCTGGATATCAGGACCAATTCTTCCACTCTGTAGGATTGACTTTATTACTTCCTATAAAGGAAAAATCCAGCAAAATGGCAGGAAGGGGAGAAAACCATAACAAGGTTGTGAGAAACTTGTGAACTCAAAAGACATTCTGAACAGAACAATCTGATAATTTATATGACCAATATTTTAAAAAGAAATCAGATATCTACCCACTATTTGAATTTAATCTGGAGGAGTGCAAGAAGCATTTCTAATTAAAAAGAAGAGTCAAAGGGGACAAAAAAATCTGACCAGCGAATTCTGGGAATTGAAATCAACATATTTTCAAGTTGCCAAGGAAGACTGTAATATATACACCTCACTAGCAACACACCAAGTGACATTTTGGCAATTCACTAATGTCACGTTGGATGTCATCTATAATGTTTCATGTATACAATCATTTTGCACATTCCTCCTTGGACCCAAGAATTAATGTCTGAATGAGAGGGAAAAAGTGTGGAGATCTCACATTTGTTTATTTTGTTTTTCTGGGAGAAAGATGGTAACTGGCTTTGTAACCCTATGAAAGGGGCCCCTAAAATCTTACAAAACCTACGAAGTGAGACAATATACTCAGAGGATGCTTAGTAGAATGTATTTTGAATTTAAGAAATGCTTTGTTATAATGCACCCAAACCACTAGTTCAGCATTTTATTCTCAAGAATAGTTCACTCTCTAGAACAGGGGTGTCAAACTCAATTTCATGGAGGGCCACATCAGGATTGTGTTTGACACTGCAGGGCCAGGATGGACATGGCCAGGATGGACATG